AATGTAAGTATCAGCAGTGTAAGGATTTAAATATATTAACGTGCTGTGACCAGATAGGGTTATTAATTTTTCTGCCTGCCAGAAGTGGTATCGGTTAGGGCTGGTGCTGGTTTTTTTCCTGCATGCACAGCTCTTCTCCTTGTGCAACTCCTGCTAAAAAAACAATAAATACATATACACACACACACACACATGTCCTGAAAAGTACTGGGTGCATGTTGGCGTGGCCTTCTGGTTAAGAAGAGTGAGCGTGGATGGAAGAAATGTGAACCCATCTTCCCCTTCTCCTCGCCGATGAGCCAGTTGCACGCACCCCCCTCCCTGACTTTCAGGCCCAGCAACATATAATTACTGCCAAATGACTTTCAGCTCCAGATTGTGCAGCTGGGATCAGTGATTACAACTGGCAGCAAATAAAGGATTTGTTCCTCAGTGTTTGCACTAGGGAGAATCATTACCTTTAAGATCATTTTAGTTGAGTTAAAGATAGTTTTGTGCCAGCATTTACATATTTTTAAACCAATGATGATGAAAGGTCGAGGAATGGCCCCTCTCCCCTGAGGATGACCGTCATTCCTCCAAGCAATAAAGAAGGTGTACGCCAGCAACGTGCTATTAGGGAGTCGTCGCTCAAGGACCCGACCTCGAGAAATAGTTACGGGCAAGGCACAAGTCCAGTCTTCAGCCCTTCAGCTCTGGGTGCTGCCGGACAGGGTAAGCCTGATAGGTACCGAGATAATGACGTCTGTTTACTCCGAAATGAGTTAGAAAACACCAGCCAGCTCTCTGCTGGATACTGGAGTCGTCAGATGGTGGTAGATGAGCTCCTGTTGAGCTGGGCTCGATTTGAAGCAGAAAGCCGGAGGTAGTGGTGTTTTTTTTTCCCTTTGGGAAAGCAGAAGAGACTGCCTTTCCACTTCCTCTGTCGTAGCGTGCAGCTGAAAAAACCTGTTTGTAGCTCTGAAATAAAGCTGGAGGAAAGGTAAACTTTCCAGTCATGCACTTCTTTGCTTTAGACAGAGACGTGTTTTATAGCAGTGACGGGGCTTTCTCGAAGATCTGGCCGTGTTAGCGTATTGCCGCTCTGCGAAGGGGCTGCAGATGCAAGAAGACACGCGCCTGCCGTGTGGTGATCTCTGCCTCTGCTCTCCCTTCTAACGGGAAGGGCTGGGAGTTATTTCTGAACAGACTTGGAGGCTTGCTGTAAAGCTAAGCTGCTTTCAGAAAGGCCGTGGTAGCTCTGTTGAATGTCTCGAAACATCCTCCTCGCCTCTGGAAAGATGAGGCTTCCAGCGGAGATTGTGATCACTTGTAGCCCCGAAAGATCCTGCGTGAAGATTCGTTGAGCTGCAGGCGTCTTGGTCACATTCTGCCTCGGAGCGCTGGTGTCCAGCTGAAAAGGCAATTCCTATCTTAAATGATTGTGTAATATTGCTGCGCCAAATTAAACAGCCGCTGCAGTTCCCAGTGTGGAATCTGCCTGGCAGCTGAGGCTGGTAAGACTCCGAGTCTGGAGGTGCATGCGAACGTGGGAAAGCGGAGGGATGGCTGTATTGGTATCCCAGGTTTTCTGTTACCGTGGCAAGCACCTAACCTCTTTTCTATGTTAATCTTAGTGCAGGTGTTCTAGAAAATAGCTTGAAGGGAGATTAGTATTCTTGACCATGTCCAGATTACTGTGAAACCTTTTTATCTTCACATCCAACAAGCATTTTCTCAGTCAGCATTTTCACTAATACACGGGTGCAAAGTTTGGCTTGGTGGGCCATAGACGTGGAGTTTCCGTATCACCTTAGGAGATAGGTTCCTTGAGCTTAGTTATCAGCTCTTTGGCTGATCAAAGCTTTGCTGAATGGTTCCTACATCGTCCTGAGCACTCTTTGTTGTGTAAATGGGTAAATGAATTCACTTCTCCCCTCTCTTCTTCCCCCTGTCCCCCCATCTTTCCAGGTCGAATCAAGTATTCGGAGCGAGTGTATGATGCGTGTATGGATACATTTGACTGTCTTCCTCTTGCTGCCCTCTTAAACCAGCAGTTTCTGTGTGTTCACGGAGGACTGTCTCCAGAAATCACGTGTCTAGATGACATTAGGAAAGTAAGTAATCTCCGTGGTCCTTTCGCATAGCTTACCATTAGTCCCGTGGTGAATGGCTTGCTTGATTGCTGCCTGGAGCTGCAGGCTGAGGCTGCTGCGCTCTGCGTGTCCACGCCGTCGGGCTGTGCGCGCCGCTGCAGCTTTCACCAGCGTTGTCCTGACTGTGGGTACGTTTTTCAGTTAGACAGGTTTAAGGAGCCGCCAGCCTTCGGTCCGATGTGCGACCTGCTCTGGTCCGATCCGTCGGAGGATTACGGCAATGAGAAAACGCTGGAGCATTTCGCCCACAACACTGTGCGAGGCTGCTCCTATTTCTACAGGTAGGTGGTGTTTTAGGGGGCTCTGATGGTCCAGAGCTTTTTCTCTCCCCTTGCACTAAGACATGTGGGGAGATAAATTGCTCTTCAGATCACTCTGTGGGACTTGACGGTGTACCTGGCTCTGAAATAGTCTTCAGTTGGCTCTAACGTGCAAAATTGTGTTTGTTTTTTCTTCTCCTGTAATACTGAGCTCTCTTTGGGTACGTTGCTCTGTGAAATTGTGGTATAGGACAGCAGAGATGCTGCTTTTAGCTGGCAGGGTGCCTTTCGAATGGCTTTCAGGCATTGGACAGTACCAGGAGCTCGAGGAAATAATCTTTTCCCGTCTAAAAGAGAAGCATTTGTGCTGTCAGACCACTTGTAGCCAGGCTGATAGGGAGGATTTGGCACCAGGGGTCTGTTTAACAGAATGCTTTGCAATTAATTTTCGAATGATGCAATACATACTGGCCTTGTTTGGGGATGCTGGACACACAAACCGAATGGATGCTGCAAGTGGCTGGTTCCTGAAGCCCAGACCGTGGGTGCTGTCTGTTCTCCTGTGCTACACGCTGATGGGTCCCTGCTTTTTCTTTTCCAGTTATCCTGCAGTTTGTGAATTTTTGCAGAACAATAGTTTGCTATCTGTAATCCGAGCTCACGAAGCCCAGGACGCTGGGTAAGTGCTGCAGCTACTCCGTCTGCGTTCGTGCCACCCGTGGCAAGACCAGTTCGTGTAACACTTGACCTGTTTTTCAGGTACCGAATGTACAGGAAGAGCCAGACAACAGGCTTTCCATCGCTAATCACAATCTTCTCTGCACCAAATTACCTAGATGTCTATAACAACAAGGGTAAGGCTGACAAGGCCAGGTCACTGCTGCTGTTTAGGTGGCAGCACTGTCCTTGGACCCTTAGGAAATCCCTCGCCAGCTTCCCTTGCCTTGCCCGCTCCGCCCTCTCCTCTGGCTGCATTCTTACGCAAGAAATGAAAAAGAGCTTGATATGTTAAACTGACAGCAGCTGGGGAGCTGGAAGTGGCTGGGTTCTCTGGCTCGAAGACTTAATGTGTTACTGTGGCAATTAGCTGTCAAGTTAGAAAGCCTAGAATAATGCTTTCATTTCCAGCCACATGACAACTGAGCGCTGGTGATGGATGCTGCCATAAAAGAGAAGCTGCTAGTACAGGCAAGCTTTTAACTTCGCTGCACCCCTAAAACCGTATGAGTACGATGGGGAACTTTCCTCAGCTGTGGGGGCTTTTTTCACCCCTCGCTTTGGATCTTGGCCCTGAGCTCATCACTTCTGATTTGCATAAATTTTAACAGCTTTGTTAAATTGATCTTCACTATATCGATGAGCTTTAGTGAAACAACATAATGGGTGAACTGAAAAACTGCTGCTTAAGCCCTCTCGTTTCGGAGAGCTGCTGGTTTGATTCTGCGTGAGGGCAACCTCTGGCTGATAATGACGTTTCGTTAGCGCGAGTACAACTCCCAGGAGCCGACGCAGTGCCTATGGACACGGGTTGTCTTTCCTTTTTCTCTCCTAGCTGCTGTACTGAAATACGAAAACAACGTCATGAACATCAGGCAGTTCAACTGTTCCCCTCATCCGTACTGGCTCCCCAACTTCATGGATGTCTTCACATGGTCTTTGCCTTTTGTAGGGGAAAAGGGTAAGAGATGTTTGCATTTCTGCTGTGAGTTGCCCAGGGACTGGTGATAGCACCCCGAGTGTTACAAACCTGTCCCACGGGCTATTAAACGTGTTGGGAGAGTGTTGTAACTCATTAGTAGCACCAGAAGGCAGTTTGGGTTCAAGGAGATCTGCGCATTACCGGGTAGAATTTTGTGGAAGTAATTGATGATGCCAGTTCTAGAAAGCTTTGACCAACAAAACGTTCCCTTCTTGCCATTTCTGCCCTGCTGATGGGGCCGATCTTGGGTGGCGTAGCCCCACCTCAGGATCTGGAGACGTTTCTCTTGCTCTGGGCTTGCAGCAGAGAAATTAAAGTTTCCCGTTGGCTTGTGGCCCACTGCAAAGGAAGCATTCACTTCAATTTAAAGGCTTGTTTCATTCTGACGGGGGCGAGGCAGCTTAAAATACGACCAAGGCTTTGCCTCGATTTCTCAGCAGAAGGGTTTTTACATCTCCCGGTGAGTTTAAATTCCACCCCAGTGCCGTACGTCTGGAGCATGACTTCAAGGTCCGAAGTGCCAAGGGTGAGGCAACCAAAGGTTGAATTCCCCCCAGAGCCGACGTCCTTGGAGGCAGGCGGCCTGCTGCGCGGGTCGGGCTGGGGAGCTGGGACCTTCGGCGAGCCCGGGCTGTGCCGCAGCAGTGCTGGCACCCCGCTCCCCATGTCTGCTTCATCTGCGATGTGCTTGGACTGCATCCACCTCCTTGGCAGAAGGTGTAAAGTGTGTCGTCTGCTCTGGGTACTGCTGCGAGGTACCAGCAGTATGCAGCTAAAAGTGTCTTTGGGCTGCCACTTCCAGAGTAGAAATGACCTTGAAATCTTTTGCTTGTCCAGCTCGTCCTCCAGATACCTCTGTCTGCCAAGCGCCCGTGCCAGGCCTCCCTAATCTTCCTGTCTGTGCTTCTTACAGTCACAGAAATGCTCGTTAACATCCTCAACATATGCTCCGATGATGAGTTGATTTCAGATGGTGATGAGACATTGGAAGGTAAAAAACGCTGCTGCGCCCGCGCTGGTAGCAGTGGGGTGCAGGTGGGGAAGGTGTGTGGTGCCAGCTTGAGAGCCATCAGCGCTTGATTTATAGCTGGATGCCCAGCCAGGGGCTCCGGTTCCTTTTTGGCCAACCCTTGTGCAATTCTGGGCAGGAAACATTTTTTTTTTTTAGTTCCTTTGCTGTTCAGTCACAGAGAAACCAAATTATATTCACTGCGACAGACGCTCCTTGCCAGCAGCTCTGGAGAACGGTTTCCTGCTCCGTACAGAGACCGCTTCCCAAGTGGTTATTTTTTTCCCCCAATTCAAAATTTTCTGCACCAAAATTATCTACCCTGTCTTCTCATCTGTTGCAGTGAACTCCTCTGTAAAGCGGCTTCTCATCTCGCCCCCAAAATGTAGAATGCAGTTTTTGACCCCGGTTTCCAGCTATGCATGGAAGGGGCGAAGCAGTTGCCGAGCTGATCTGCGCTTTCTGTATGGGGGGGATGGCTCGAGGGCGAGGTGGTGGCCTAGAGGAAGCTCAGGCGTGGACGTGGGGCGAGGAGCGGGGCCGTGGGGGTGCGGGGTGCTGCCCGTGCCCGTCCGTGTAGGGTGGAGGACAGTCAGTCCCGCGGAGAAGCAGAACACCGTTGTGGTACAACAAGGTGCCGCTGCTTCGGTCGACAGGTTGGGACTTTAACCCGCTTCTCCCATTGCATTTCGTTTTTGTTTTTTTTCTTTCTCCCTCCCATGAAAATTAAATTTGTTTCTTCTATCTCTGTCTTCATCTACTTGTTTCTTGGTGTCTCCTCTCCCTGAAGATCACTACATTTCAAGCTATCAGAAAGGTACCCAGCTAGAATTTGCTACAAGCTTAATTTTCACTGCCTGTGCCACCAGATTCCTTGGAGTGGATTTGAATAGCTGACTAGTTGGGCAGCCTCTTCATCCCCTTTCAGTTTTAACATAAGCGCCGTGTGTTTTTTAACCCTTCTGCGTTCCTCCAGGAACTTGAGAAACGGGGTCACGTTTCTATCTGACTTCTGAATGCAGCCACTTAGTGCATGGCTGAGCCATCGGTGCATGTTAGACCTCCGGTTTGGCTTGTACTGTCCTAATGTGTACTTGGGCCATGTGAGGAATCTCAGCTGAGAGGAGATGTATTTGTTACCTCTTGTACTTTGATTTTTTGTTTGTTTTCAGTTACCCTCCATGCTTTTCTCTCCTGTTGGGTCTGTATAGCGGAAGGGGAGTTCACGTATCTCACTTTGTGTTTGTGTGGGGTCAAAGCAGAGTTGCGAGGCTCCGGCCAGCCGTTCACTGTGCGCGTTGGATGCCAAAGCTGATGCTTGCGTGACACTCCTCCCCGCGGCGAGCACAGCCCGGTGTTCTGCGGCGTTCATCAGCAGACTCGTCAGTGTTCTGCCTTGCAAAGCTGTGTCTACATGGCTGAGTCATTTGTGTTACATCCTGTGTAGTGTGATCAAACCTGGTGAGCTTCGAACGAGACCTGTCCGATCCGTTTCCTTTGGTGGTTCTGCTCTCTTTAGACCTTTAAGTCCGTGTGTCATCTCGTTGGTGTTGCCCTTCTCACTGCCATCCTGACCGCCATCCTCTCAGCACTGTTCTCTCAAGAGTGTAGCTGTGAATCTGTAAACCATGATTTCTTTTCCCGGAGTCAGGCAGGTGCTTCATATTGACATTACCTGTGCCTGGAAAGCAGGAAGCCTTAAACATGCTGGTGTTTGTTTTTTTCTCCCTAAGGTGGGACAACAGTCCGTAAAGAGATCATCAGGAATAAGATTAGAGCCATTGGGAAGATGGCACGTGTCTTCTCGGTGCTTCGGTAAGGAAGCGGCTTCTGATCTGGGGTCTGAGTTTCATTTGGGGTCTGGGTAACGGGGGACGTTGGTCAGGGCGCACCGGGCACGCAGAGTCCCACTGGGGGAAAATCTTCCGAGACCGTCGCTTCGGAGCGGGTGGCGGAGGCTGGAGGGGGTGGTTTCTGTGTGCTTGGCGGTCTGACCCTCGCAGAAACCTTCGTCTCGGGCAGCAGCACCTTTGCCAGCAGAAATGCTGCCGGTTAGGTGTGTCGAGCCCTCTCAGGATGCATCTGCTCTGCCGTAGCTCTGACGCGTCGCGACTGAGTAAGCAGAGGTCTGGTGTTTACGTCTGTTTGCGATGCCTCTTGTTCGCAGGGAGGAGAGCGAGAGCGTGCTGACTCTCAAAGGCCTGACCCCCACAGGTACACTGCCCCTGGGAGTGCTCTCGGGGGGGAGGCAGACCCTGCAGACCGGTGAGTACGAGCGATCCTCCCCTCTGCGGTTCTGTGCCGGGCCCTCCGCTGCCCCAAACACCGCTCGCTCGGTGCCTGCAGGCGCATGTCAGGGTGCCGGGCGACCCGAGAGATGGGTCAGGCCCGCGGGGAGGAAGGATTCAGAAATAGGAAAAAGCAGAAATGTAGGTGGGGATGTGGTGAGCCTTCCAAGATGTCCCCGTGTACCCTCGAGAAGGGGAGCGTGAGAAACAAGACAGCAAACACCCCGCATAAAGCATGCGTATTGCTTTATTGTATGTTTCTGCAACGATTTTTGATCGTTTGTTTCCCTTCTAACGCTGCATGATAAGCATCCTCTGCTCACCTGTCGGCTGCTGCTGTGTGATGGCGTGTAGGTGAATGTCAAAGCAAACACGCCTGCTTGTTTGTTCTCTGTGAAACGAAACCCCTCCGATTTCAACCCTGGGAAGTCGTGAACCCCAAGCAGAGGAAGCTGAGATTCACGTGAAGGAAGGAGGTTCTTCCAGGCCTGTGTGTTTCACGTTGAGACTTCTCTCGGCCCCCTGGTTTTGATCTGGTTTTGGAGGTTTCTGTTGCTGGCAAATGCTTTGCTCCATCCCTCGGGAGCCAACTGCTCTGTCTCGTTAGCGTGCTGAGAGCAGGGCTGAGCTAGCGAGCTGGGGACTCGCAGGGCAGGGAGATTGGCCGGTGGTCAGGGAGGGAGTTATCAGAGTAACGTGTGTCCCCAGAGGGAAGCCTGTAATCCAGCGTTTTAATCCTTTCCTGCTGCCAGCCTTTGAATGCTGGCATCTCACCAGCCTGCTTTCCCCTTCCCATCAGCGCTGGGTGATTTCCTGCGGGCTCAGGACAGAGGGCTTGTTCAGGGATTGCCGTGCCTTGATTAAATAATTCGCAATTGAGAAATGTGTAAATATTGCTGCCCGCTCCTGGGGGTGGAGGAGATGTGATACCGCTCCCGAACTCCTGAGTTTCTCTGCCCGCAG